ATAGTAAAGAGTAATTATTTGATTATAGAAATTCGTGTTTCACACTCATTACTTATTTTTTGTTCAGGTCTTGACCATGGGAAAGTAAGAAAAATGCACTTTATCGTTCATTTTTCTTGATATGGAGTGAAAAAAAATGATACATAGTTTTGTTCACTTCAGTTTAAAGTTCAAACCTTCTGGCCTTAGTAAATTATTGTCTGACTGCATGACAGTAATTGTCAAAGTTATAGTCGTTTGAATTTCGTTGAATGNAGGATCCCTTGCCTAATCAGGTGCTATATTGTATACCCTGAACTTGTAGAAGTTTCAGCCAGCTAGGACATTCGAACAAGTCAGCAGAGACTTAAGACTTGACTTATGAAGTTTGCCATATCAAATTAAAGGACACCCGAGTTCTGACAATTTTGGCAACTACTTCCGCATATCATGCCAGATTACACCAGAAAGCCTCCGAAATACAGGCAAAAACGTTCATAAAGTTTGGCTACCTGTTTTAACACCGAAATTGAATATTTGAAATATGATTATAAGCTCAGAGAGAGGGAGATAGAAAACCAGTCTTTTTAATCCTTAAGACAAAAGACTACTCGTATCGGCAAAACACATAATGGAACCTGACTGTGAAAGCCTAACACAATATACATGGTTAATCAATGTACATCTATTTTATACCAGAATAATTTGACATCTTTTAATATTACCATTTATGAAATCACTATACACTCCAATGAATTGTTTTCCTGAATTGAGTTACAAAATGCAATTGTTGGAACTTAATTACCTTTTACTCTCATCATTCCTCAAACTGAGTAAGGAAAGTATAATGAAATATAAGCTGGAAGAAACCTATCTAGTAACAGTTGGTCTCAACCTGCACCCATAAATACCTAAAAAAAGTGCCCATTTGGACCCATTGACACTATTGATCAGTTTGACTTGAATTGTGTCATGTGAAAAATCAAGGAATTTTTATGTATGCTCCAAATATCGAATGAAAATAAAAACTTAATCGAATCAGATAGAAATCGGTCTTTTGCAAAATGTAAGTGTCGTATTTTGAAAGTGTATAACTCTGAACATTCATTGATTTTATCAAAAGTAATATCATAGGACCTCAAAATTGTATTGATACATTTACATTTCTCAATGAAAACTTTGTTATTTAGCAATATCACTAAGTGTAGCAAGCGTTCAATCGCTGTAGAGCTCTGTTTTGGTGGCCTAGTGTTCAATTTTTTTTCATTTTATCGGTTCGTAGGAAATAATAACTATACATTTGCGAAACTACAAAATTTTGTTTAAATATTTTAAATTAATTAAATAAAGTTCAATGGTGGGTTCTTTCACCTCGTGGAATGTTGATTTGGAACACTAAATTGATGAACTTTCTACTCGCTTTACAAAATAACTTTGTAAGTCACTTCAGGACTTTTAGTATGTATCTCGAAAACAAACGATTGCAATGTGTTTGTTTATTTGTTCCGTACGACGAAATCTATTTCAACTCATCAAACTTCTCCGAAGCATGAAAAACTTTTTTGAATGAAGCACAATCTACCACGCCATGCAACACAGAAGTAGTACATTTTGAAAATGTGGTTTAAAAGGCTTACTCGAGAGAAGGGGGTGACAGCATGTGCATTGGTAGAGCCGACAGAATAGTTTGGTCAGTGGCGTGACATAATAAAGGGACACATTGAACAATTTCAAAACTCTGACAAGATTATCCTTTCCGTTCGCTGATGACAATATATTGAACACCAAATGAGAGGTTTGGATAGAACTTTTTACGCTTGACTTCTACATCAGTAGATTCGAAAACCAGGTATATCATGATATAAGACAAACTTTGACATAAGTTTGGTAATATTCAAACCGAACCAATGAACATATAATATATCATGCTGAACTATTCTATTAAAAAAAAAATAATTAACAAGAAATGAAAATTAAAAATTAAAAGATTACAAACCAAGTTACTTCACGACGTTTCGATTGTTGGTATTTCTATTTTATTTCATTGTAACTTCAGTTTTTGCTTAATATAATTGTTATTTTTTCAGCTAATCTCTTTTTTAATTTTTTACAGATTATTTTAGGTATTTCGAATCAATTTATATCACAATAGTCAATGGAAGTCCCGATAATGAAATAGTTCATTTATTTTGGTTTGACTAAATTAACTGCCAAATCTTCTAGGTTTTGATAGTGAAAATTCATTGTAAATATTTCTTTGCATTTCATTCTTCTCTCATTTCTTCTTTTTTATCATATCTTCAGATCAAACTGTCTTTCATTAGTCTTTTTTCTTTGTTGGTACGCAATATAATGTATCAGCGAAAGAAAAAGTTTGCGAAATATCTTGCCGCCATGCCACTGAAGCTTTTAATAGAAACACATATATAAGATGAACAACAGGATGCAAAGTAAATGGTAACAAAATTATACGTTAGAGGAACAGTTAGCAAATATGGTTTTTACTGGAATTTCACTACCCACTCTTGCATTAACATTTCAGAAAAAGTTTTAATTAAACAAAATTTTTATATGACAACATTTTTTGAAAAGGATCCAGGTCCAGAAATTCTATGAAAACATATTTGCTTGTTTACTATTTCGTATAATAGTGTGTATCAAGGTGGACATTACAAATGATTCTTTGATAATGATACGTAGAAACATTGTTAAATCGAAACTGTACTTTTTTAGCAGTCCACGTGTGTAGAACAAATATAATGACATGGTTTTCATAACATTTCACAGAAGGAGTTGATTTCCACTCCAAGTGGAAAGCTATCAAAGAATAATTTGTATGTGCATAATCATAGAATTAGAGAATTAGAAGAATCCATGGCAATCACTAAAATATGGTGATGGTAGAGTAAATTCTATTAAGTGAAATAAAATAGAGTTGATATGTTGAGTTGAGAACTGGAAATATACTTTTTGGAAACAACAGATTGATGCAAATATTAAAATACTTTTTACATTTATTGAAAACGAGAGAACGTTGAAAAATAATTACACATCCATATTAACCTTCATTTTGTTTAGAAACACTCGTTAAAAATGTTCTGAATTGCTGAACGAAGAACCTTTCATCAATTAAAATGTAAAAGTGTATTTTCCCATCAAAGGTGGTATGTCATCAAGTGGAAAATAGCGGACAAAAAAACACTTGAATAACTTGTCACCTAATGACAAGTCAGAAATGAGAACTTGAATCTTTGGCGGTCTGGAAAGGTTAATTTGGCGTTCAGTTCATGTGAATATTTCTCAAAGCAGAATTTAACGAAAATGGTAGTGACCGAAAGAATTTAAAAAGGCCATTTCTTTTATCATATGGTAACATTGATATATTCTAAACCGTAACAGATACAAAGACGATTAAATGGGGAAAGGTATCTGTCATTGAGAACAATACAATGGTCGAGGAAAATTTACGGGGACTCTCGCCCTTTTCAAGATATACGGGGAAAACAAAAAATGCTGTTTTTCTTTTTTTTCGAATGGAATTGTTATTTGGGAGACTATCGAGAAATGGAAACGGAAAATGTTTTTGTATTCGAAGTGTACTATGATGATGTAATAATAAATAATCAATTTTCGAAACTTTTCATGTCAACATGGCCACACCATCAACTTTTTTTTTTTTAGATACGGATAAAGTGATAAATTCACAATCCAAGGGTTGATCACATTTGATATTTCATAGCGTTTCATTTGAAATAACCACCATCATGAGTGACAACAATCAAACAGAAAAACAATTTATTTCTTCGTCTGAAAGCTCCATAGGACTCGTTGCATTTTGGCGCTAAGAACCTTCCTCTCTCGGGATCGAGAGACGTGAAGCCCCCTGTGTGAAAGGGCGCTTACTGTTTTGAATTATATTTGAAGTAATATTACAAATTTTTCACAATTGTTACTTTTTCCCCGTGGGTTCACCAATAATTGACTACACTGAATAATCAAAATTAAAACTGTATTTCACTTCAAATACAACAAACACTTCAACTAGAAATTTAACTATTATTTGAATGTCTATCACCTCACTAGATCACTTCACGCACTGCACTGTAGCTTCCACTTGAATGTGTCGATATGCTTGCAGCTAGCGTTCAAATATCGTAATCGAATGCCGTAGAAATATCACCGAACTTCCGTCGAAGTCGATAGCATTCTTCTCGTTGCTTCTCGAGTGGCGGGGAATCATCATACATTCGCGCACTCTTAGCTACGTCACCATTGGTTTATGGCTACCAGTGACGGCCGGCGTTATTTTCTTTCGGGCATGATTTACAACACTACGGTCAGATAACTGATTCTCATGTGAATTGTTGTGAAGGTTCACTAGTTTTGTATTAAATCATTAGGGTAAAAACAGGAAATCAATGCAACTCGTCCGTATATTGGTATCTCACTAAGTAGGGGCAATGGAAACAATTCTACAGGGCGTTTCAACGAAAATTTGATCCCACTTGTATTCCAAGGGGGACTAAATTTGATATGAAAAAAATTGTTCATTAATATACGTCATTGTGATGCACTATTTGAGTTTGATCTTCCTCTTGAAGATGATCACTTGGTGATTGAAACACGTGTTGAGGTGTTGAAAAATAATGGTTTGGTGTTGGGATTAAACTTCAGTAATAATATTCGTCATAGATGATATTCCAGCAGGACAAATGCACATTTAGACGATTTCCGAAAAAAAGGGCGTTAGAAAGTTTCACATACAAGTTTCGCCATAGCAATATTTGTGAAAACTTTCCAAGAGTTGGTTGTATTATATCATGGTTGATGAATACATCTCAATGGTTTGAAAACACCAATTTGTTTGAAAAATGGTAGTTGCTTGATTTTTCGAATGAAGAAGTGAGCACAATTCAGAACATTTTTCAACATAGTTTATAGCATCGTTCAGGTATAGAAAAGTATAAATATGTTTTATTGATGTAGTTCAGTCGTCTTAAAATTGTCAAGTTGAAAAATACCTTTCTTCGCCTTGCTGGTGGTACGATGAAGTAAGTTGTGACACAATGGTCTCTCAGGTACTGATTTCTGGTAGTGCCATTGCCAGGTTCTACCTCGTATTCACCACCCAGATAATCCAGGGTGGCTTGAGTGATGTGAACTCTCCTGAAAAATGACAGAAAAGTTAACTATTTTCGAGAATACTGTATTTATAGATAAACATAGTCTATATGAAAAATCTGTCGTCAAAGATGTGCGAATATAGTTTTTTCAAATATATAATATTAGTACAACACAATAAGTTATGATTCTAAATATTTAGAAAATACTAATTTTTAGCTATATTCTTCTTCTTCCAAAAATGNAGGCTACATCTAACATGACCATGTAGGCAGCTATAGCTACCTGATGAGGCCAATGGTCAGAAACACGTGTCCGCGGTTTGCCCTCTCCTTTTTGGAGTGTTTTGTTCACTAATTCTTTCATTTTTGATTCATATCCTAAAATTTACTATTCATCTTTTTCGTATATACGTCCCCCTGGCAAATATTCTTCTTATAACCTTGGCTCAGCAATAAGACCATTGTAGAAATATCCGTTTGTTTCTGATACATACGGCATTAATGCATGACTCGATTCCTTCTTTCATTCCAACTGGCAACTTTTAAATTTTACATACCGTATATTGAGAATACTAAAATGTTTCTCCCGCAAAATTTTGATATCTGATGATTCTATACACATTTTGATACAACAGTGGAAACACACAAAGTTTCATCTTCCGAAATATTTTGGCAAAATTTCCACATGGATTGAGAAGTTCAGTTTCAAGTTTTCTGTTTCAAATGTTTAGGTACCCTAATAGCAAAGTTTTCGTCTCAGTGTATACCGAAATGTGTACCAAGTTTGTTTTTTTAATAATTTATCGTTCTTCTAAGGTAATTCAATTTATAGTCGCACCTGTTTCGCTCAAATTTGAATATTCAAGTGAAAAAGCGCTTCTGTTGCGACAAATTCATTGCTAAATAAGATTTGTGATGGAATCGGGCGATACTTGTTAAAATTTCACAACGTATTCAAAAAAACACTTCATTGTGAGATTTTCACCAAACAGTTTTACAAAAACGTAACACGTGTTTTGCTATACAATAGCTTTTTCAGGTGTTTAGTGAAAATATCACAATGAAGTGTTTTTTCAATAAGATTGCATTGGAAAACAATAGAAGAATGGATGAAGTGATGATTAAGTGAAAATTACCCGTGGGTTGGGTTATCTATTGGGCGCGTCTCCATGTGGCGGGTAGGGGAACGGCCAGGGGACTTGAGGCCCTGTCCAGGAAGCCAATGTGGGTCTTACGGACGGGGTCGCCGAACTCCTGGTCAGTGGCAGAAATAAGTAGGGTGAGGGGAACTGAACCCCCCCCTCAAAAGCCTTTGCAAAACATGCCACCGTGGACCAGCCTACCCAAGCTAAGGTGTAAGGAATCGTCTCGACAGCTAATGGTCGCAGGGTGATATGCGGTCACGAACGATCCCCTTGGGAAACCGGGCGAAATTTCATTGTAATCAGCCTTCCGTTGGTAATGCGGGACTCTGCCAGAGGTGACCAACTCTTCCCTTGCTACTCGTGGGAACACACATGAATGAAACAACACAAAAACAGAAACAACAAAAAACAGACAGTTCTCACCTCAATCTAAGGAGGTGGTTGGGGATGAATAGAAATGTCCACCCCAATCTACCGCTTGGAATGAGGCTGGACAAGCAGATCACCTCCATCAGCAAAGGCACTTCCTGAGGCGGGCGCCAAAAGCTCCGCCTTGAATGAAGGCAAGGAACCGGCTGCCCTTGCAGGAAAGCTCCCTCACTTGTGCACCTCTACGGAGGGAACCCCAAGAAGGTTGAAGAAGTCGCGCAACGACATTAATATCGCTGCACCTTATAAAACCTTCGCGGGGGCCACCGTGAAACACTTCTAGGTTACCAAAGAGAGTGTGTGTTCGGCGAGTCTTGGCCTACACCTGCCAATATAAAGGAGATGTCTCCTAGTGACCTGTTCACCTTCCTGGAAAGGACAGGATGGAAGATGACCTAGGAGGACAACTCCTCGGGAGGATGTAGAATTGGTCACATGTAGCCTAAATGCTGTGAGTCTATACTCACTCTCCCTACCCTATAGATATCAGATACCAGAAGTCAAAATTAAGAAATAGAATTAAATGAATAGGTAATTATTGTTTGATTGTGATACATTCTCCTAGGAATGTTAGAACCTCAACGATATATATGTACTTGCATGAACATTTTGGTTTGGTTGTGTTATTTTTACGAGTTTATTGTATGATTTTCACTATGAAAGGTTCAACAAAAACCGCGTCACGTGTTTCGCTACAACAAAAACCGCGACACGTGTTTCGCTACAACAAAAACCGCGATACGTGTTTCGCTATGCAATAGTTTTCTCAAGCGCTTGAGAAAGATATTGTATAACGAAACACGTGTCGCGGTTTTTGTAAAACCTTTTATAGTGAAAATCATACAATATATTGTATTTTTTTTTCCATTTCTTTGGAGTTGGCTCCTATAGTACCATTGAATACCTCCTTTATTTATTTTGTGTAAATTCGATCAAAGCCGCAGCATAAAACAGTAATATTATTACACACATAAGCTGACTGTTCAAAAAATAAGGTGAATTTTAATTTTTCTCAAGAAATATTCATTCATTCATCAAATTCTATGTTGTCCTCCTCAGATATAATAAACTTGCGCCAGCGTTTTATCCTATCCTTCACGCAGTTCTGACATACACTTTTTGGTATGTCTTTGAGCTCTCTCAGCAATTCAGTTTTCATCTCCTGAAATACCAAATCTGGTGAATACGGTGGCTGAGGCATGATTACGGTGTTGTTTTTGACAAAAAAATTACGAACAAGAAATGACTAGTGAGCAGGTGCATACTCGTGATGCAAAAGCCATGAATTGTTTTTCCACAGAACCAGACGTTTTCTTCGTATTGCTTCTCGCAAACGGCGCATAACTTCGAGATAATACCCACAGCCCACAGCACTTAGGCCACATGCGACCCATTGTATATCCTCCTGAGGAGTTGTCCTCCTAGGTCATCGTCCATCCTATCCTTTCCAGGAATGTCGACAGGTCACTGGGAGACATCTCCTTTATATCGGTAGGTGTAGGCCAAGACTCGCCGAACACACACTCTCTTATTGACAATAACTCCGGACTCTCGCATAGGACATGCGTGACAGTTTCATCTTCCTGTTTACACATCCTGCATAGAGGTGTGTCCACTAGCCCCACATTATGGATGCATTTCCTTAGTTGACAGTGGCCAGTCAGAAATCCTACTGTTAAGCGTAGATTTTTCCTGGTCATCGCCTGATATTTCTTCGGCGCCAGCTTCCCAAGGTGGGAGTGACACTTGGCTAAGTCCGTAATTGTCGAAGTCATCAGGCCGTAGGTGCCTCTAGGTCCTAAAATTCTTAGTCCAGCCCCTTCCTTGGCTGAAGAGTCGGTAATGTGATTAATTTTACTCCTGTTGTGCCTTTTAATCCACCCCAGGATAATGCTATTATCAACCGAGGCTTTATGTCAAGACCATACACCCATAATTCTTCAGTAGTTATGATTCTTTTGGGCAAATCTGGATCGCCGTTGACGTCATTCCACAATTCCGGAACGATGCTCATGGGAAGGTTTTTTTAGGTGAAAACTCACGGAACGAACTTCACTACCACACGCTTCATGCCAAAAAAATTCTGAAAAAATTGCATGCCATGAGCCAACGGATATGCCGACATTCTCAGCAACTTCTCGACGATTCTCCATAACATTTTTCCTCACTTTCTCAACATTTTCATCGGTTGTTCATGTGCTAGGGCATCCAGGGCGAGTGTCGTCATTCACATCTTCTCGACCTTTTGTGAAACGTTTGTACCACTTGTAAACATTTTTCTGACAATCGCCGTATGCCACTGATAACATTTCAAGTATTTTTGAGCACTCAATTCTATTTTTTATACAATTTCATGCAAATTATCGGATTGACTTTTTTCGATAGCAGAAAATGGCTAGACCCGCAAAACATTTATGCCTCTCACAAAAAACTAAATATGCTAAACACCTGAAAACGTGAACGTATGTTCGAGACGAGTGTACAACATAAAAAAATCGCTAATCGAATGCACCTACCCCGCGAAATTTTTACACTTACCTCATTTTTTGAACAGTCACGTATATTTTTAGAAGTTGGCTGCTATTAGACCAAAGAAATAAACAACAAATACGAGTTACATAATGTTTACTATAAATTTCATCCCTACCTTCAGCCATCATAATACTTTCCTGCTACTCAGAGTAAGGACAGTTATAATTGAGAAACGATTATGTACAAAAACACGAACAACATACAGGCTTTGATGGAATATTAAAATAAAGTGATAGAGTAAATCAGTATGGTCTATGATAACTAGCGGCAACGATAAACGTCAACAATATCTCACTGTTTCCTACTTTATCAGATTCCTTTTTTTCGTAAATACTCGTAAGTATCACGCGAAGCAGTGAAGTATCAAATAAAACTCTTACTGCAAAGTCCACCTTCACTTGTGTTGAATCCTACTTCTTATCATCTCTCAGCACACATTTTCAGCGATCCTTAAATTTATTTCAGTGGGTTGCTTTGGGAACATAAATTTTATAGAGCAATTTCTTCGAGACTGATGCAGAACATTTATTGAATCTGGGGCATAAATGATATATGATGCATGCTATTATAATAAGATGAGGTAATAGATGAGAATCACATTATCTGGCCATTTCTATATGACAACCTTTAAATAATATCGAAATGAGAGGTTGAACAACTACTGTCATGATTCCAGTTTTTATGTAATCCAAACATTAAATGAAATTTGAGGAATTCAAGAAACACCCGAAGAATGTGAACGGCCTCATGCTTTGTTTCAATTTTTCCCAAATTAACTCGATGGGATTGAAAACACAAAAATAGGGGGGAAGTCTCACTATGATGTGTCCATACTTTTCAGCAATACTCTCCAGGGCATACACTTTTTCAAATGTTTTTGTCTATANTCTGAATTCAGCCATATAGCATACTTGTAGTTACCTTTGAAAAACTGATGAATAAAGTCAATTCCCATATTTAAATGCAATAAACCAGTTTTTCGTACTGGGGTGAACTGTTTGTTAAGTAAATAAATATTATTATTAACAACATTATGTTTTAGAAGTCTGCTTGCATCTTCCTAATAAATATATGGAAATCCTAAATGTCTCAAAAGAGGCAGTTTTTTTAAAAAACTCAGAACACTAGTTCTGATAATTTCTTATCATTTAAAAAAACATTTGATCGGACAAGCAAATTTATTAATGTATTACAGTTAACAGCTTTTTTACTTATTCATCAACTTGCAATGTTTGTTCGGATCAAGTCTTACAACTGAATGCATGGTAAGCTGAGTGATTTTTGATATCCAATATGAAGGACTATCAAAAATGGCAAACTAGTTATTTTTTATGTTAAGGTACCCATGACATGGGTTTCAAATGAAAGTTTGCTAAAAAACAAATCGAAAAATTAAATGACGCTACGTCAAATTCAAAATGGATGACTTGCAAAGATGGTGGACTATGTTTTTTATTCACCCTCATGATATGAATATCAAATGAAAAGATTTAACGATAAATATTCAAGATAGCATAGATACCAATTTTACTTATGTCAACATTGAGTTGTATATCTTGTTTATTTATAAAGTACAACTCGCCATAAGCTTTTATTTTATATAAATTGTGTAATGAAATAAATTGATGAGTCTAATTTGATTCCAGCTTTGTTTTTTTCTTTTTGGAACATGTAAATGAGAGTTTGCTTTCCAAAATGTTTCAACTATAAATTTAGATTTTTGTTCTATAATGGGAGTTTCGGGTAAGTTTTTTTCGTTACAGTACTTACCCAGGTTCCCCCCCAGCCTCCATATTATTAGCAAGCGTAACATCGTTCGACCAAACATCGTACTGCCACTTCCTCAATCCCAACACCCCGCACAGCACCCTTCCCGAATGTATTCCTACCCTCATGTTGAGTTGGACATCAGTGGCTTCGACGACGCTGGCGATAGCGTCAATCATGTCCAAGCCCATTTCGACGGCGCAATGAGCATGATCTGAACGTGGCTCGGGAAGACCCGAAACGCAGTAGTAGCAGTCTCCGAGGATTTTAATGCGCAGGCAGTGGTTGTCCTGAAAAAAAATTAATGATGATGTCATTCTTATAAAAACAAACGCATATACAATTTCCAAAAATTCAAAACGCAGATTCCAATGTAGCGGAGACGTCAAGTTAAAAACGCACTTTCATGTCGAGAGATGAAATTTATTACAATTATATTTTAGAACAGTTGATAGGACAACCCATTAGGAATTAGTCCAGTCATCACCCGAAGACAATTGTGGATAACAATCGAAACGTCGTGAAGTAACTTGGCTTGGAATCTCTTAATTTTTTATTTTTTTGTTTAATTGTTCCATTGATCTGACGAGTATGTGACGAAAACAACAATCTGCACTGATAGCAGACAAGCCCTATTAGTCTAGAACAGACAACGTGTTACCTCAGGGCAAGCACTAGAGTGTCACCAAGATTTAGCCAAAGCCTCGGCTTTGGTGGGTTAAAGGGCACGACAGGAGTAAAGGTAATCGCATTGCCGACTTTTTAGTCAAGGAAACGGCTGGACTAAGAATTTTAGGGCCCAGTGGCACCTACAGCCTGATTACTTCGACAATTGCGGAACTAGGCTATTATAATAAGATGA